TAAGGAGAACAAGGAGAGTAAAGGGAAGAAGTAGAAGAAGTAGCAAGGAGAAGAGTAAGGGGAAAACAAGGGGTGATGTGATCTCCTCGAGGTTTCTAGTTTTTACAGACACAGTTGGAAAATTCCATAGGCAAGGACAATGATAATATGCACATCAAAATCACAAAGAGGGCAGGTAGAATCTGACAAGCAATACTCCAGAACAGGTGGCCTGGCCCAGGAAAGAGCTAGCAAGGGGAAGTACCTGACATTTCAAACTGTCTGATAAAGTTACCCAACATTCCTGCATCCTGGATTCACCCATTCTTCTCATCTAATCTCTTTGGTAACAACCAGTTTTGGGGATGCCCATATTTGTTTGTTAGCAAGGGTGGGGCATGCTGCCTTCCTGCTCAGTGCCTGTTTTCTATAGAAATTTTCATGTTTCTGTTAGCAGGTAATTTTGTGGGATTGACTCTATGTAAATTTGACTGTTAGAACAAAGAGTGGGTGTTATCAGTCTAAGGTCTTGTGGTGTGAGGGAATGGAGCAAGGTCATTCTGTTGCCTGTGCAAGAGTCACACTGCTGAGGTGTTTTGGGAATGAACCCCATTTTGAAGGGAAGAATCATAGCTTCACAAGGTTTTTACAGATGTGACAGTAACTTTTCCAAATGACAAGTATTTTTGCAGCTCTGGAAAACAGGTTGTCGCATAAGTTGTACACTTGTGGGTCTGCCTTTATGAATCTATCAGCTGTGCATTTACTGTCTAGTCTTGTGGGTTCCAACAGTTCTCACCTCTACCAATGCTCAGACGGAAAGGGAGATCCTGTCCTCAGACTGCATCTTCAAACTGACTGCCTCAGACTGCACTGAGCTCCGTCTCCTCCCACCTTATATTCCTCTCTCCACCTCCCTAGTGCTGGGATTAAAGGTGTGGAATCCCAAGTACTTTGTGTGAGATCTTTCTTTCTTTTAGACAGATTTACTCGCGTGTGCTCAGGGTAGCCTTGAACTCAAAGATCCCTCTGCCACTCCCTGGCCTCTAGTGGTTTCGCTCTGCACCCTGGTCATCAGGCAAGCTTTGTTTGTTAAAACCACAAAGTATCACTATACCTCTGAAAGAATAGCAGATGTTCCTAACTGCTGAGCTACCTCTCCAGCCCTAAATGCCACCATCTTAAATGGGACCTTCCTGACAACTGTTTTAAATTGTTACATCAGTACTCTCTATTCCCTTCTTGTGCTTTGTACTTTTTTTCTCCTAAAATATTTATCACCAGTCTAGAGAGACAGTTTAGGCAGTTAAATGCCACACAAGTATAAAACATGAGTCTAATCCCCAGAACCCACATAAAAAAGTTGAGCATGTGTAGCCCAGGCTGGCCTCAAACTCATGATCCTCCTGCCTCTGCTTCCTTCAGCAAATCCTACATGAAGGTGGCGCACGCCTTTAATCCCAGCACTCGGGAGACAGAGCCAGGCGAATCTCTGTGAGTTTGAGACCAGCCTGGTCTACCGAGCTAGTTCCAGGACAGGCTCCAAAGCCACAGAGAAACCCTGTCTCGAAAAACCAAAAAAAAAAAAAAAAAAAAAAGTTGAGCATGATGGTATATGCTTATAATCCTAGCACGAGGAAGGTGGACACAGGCAGACTCCTGGAGCTTACTGGCTAGCCAGTCTAGCCTTAACCGTCAAGCCCCAGAGAGAGACCCTGTCTCAAAAAAAAAAAACAAAGTACATGGCTCCCAAGGAATAATACTTGAGGATGACCTATGGCCTCCATACATATGCACACACATGTGCATATGCACATCCACACAAAATAGATTTTAAGAATTTATTACAGAATTTATTACCACTTGACGTATTGCTTCCTTACTCTTTTTCTGGTTTATCTTCCATCAATGGAGTGTACACTCCATGAGAGTAGTGACTTTTTATATTAATTTCATGTATTGGATATACATTATTGTTAAAAAAGTAAGTAGGGAGCTTTATTTTTCCCAAGTGTTTACATAAAAATGATCTTCAATGTATTTTTCAGAAAATAAATATAAAGGCAGCTTTTGTTCTAGTCTGAATCAACATAGTGAGTCTTATCTCCTGCAAACAATCCTTTTAAAGAACATTTTACTTTTTTATAGTTCTGATCAGATAGCCATGTCACTAAAATAAACTGAGCACACAAGTCAGTTTAACCATAATGTATTATAATCAAATAAAACTTACAGCAAAGTTAATCAGACAGATCTTTAATGACATGCATAACTGTTATTATACTGCACGGTAACTAGGCATAAATGGTAGACATTCCATGTAAATGATGCTAATTACTATTCCTGTTACACAGCCAAACCAAGCATGTCTAGGATCAGCATCAGAGAGAAAAGAAAGGAGGGAGAAACCTTGGTACTTAACTCTGAGAGGTAAGAACATTCTTCCTCTGCTCCCCAGGAATTAGACAAATTGTCTCCAGGCTCCATTATGTGGCTTATTCCCATTTTCAAGATGGCAAACTTTACAGTATGAAAAGCCTGCTAGCCAAGATTTAGAAATTATGTTGAGAGGAACAAAAAACAATCCCTAATTTCCATCTTTAAGGAAGATGTGGGCACAGGCAAGTTGATGGAAACTAAGCCAAGGATCAAGAAAAGGCCACACACACTAGTAAGTGTTTCACATAATTTTTCATTTCCCCAACCTACCTAAATCCTGAAATTGTTCCCAAAAAAAAAAAAAAACAGGACTGAGAAGACTGTGGGATGGCTCCAGTGAGAATTCCCTGTAGATGGAAGCTGTTTATTCGTTTCCCGGACTCCCAGACCCGAAATAATCACACAGAAACCATTAATTGAATACTGTTTGTCCAATAGCTTAAGTGTATTTTAGCTAACTCTTACATCTTAAATTAACCCTTTCTGTTATTTTATATTTTACCAAGAGGCTCACGGTTTACTGGTACCAGCGCGTGGGTATCTTTCTCCTCCAGCAGCTACATGGTGTCTCCTCCTCTACCTGCTTGGAATACCGGTCTTTCCCTATTCTGCACTGCAATAGGCCCAAAGCAGCTTCTTTTTTTATTTTTTATTTTTTTTGTTTTTTGAGACAGGGTTTCTCTGTGGCTTTGGAGCCTGTCCTGGCACTAGCTCTGTAGACCAGGCTGGTCTCGAACTCACAGAGATCCGCCTGCCTCTGCCTCCCTAGTGCTGGGATTAAAGGCGTGTGCCACCATTGCCCGGCATCCAAAGCAGTTTCTTTATTAACCAATGGTATTCACAGCATACAGAGAGGAATCCCACATCAATTCCCTGCTCCAAAGTCTCCTACAATGCCACCTTTCACAAAGCAGGCTAAACCCCAGCCTATCTAAGTCATGATAAGTCACTGCCCTTCTCTCCCGCACTGTACTCATTTGCAGGGATATTCACTTAGGTATATACAAGCCATGCACTCTAAACAACTGCAATTACTTTCCTGAGTAAAAATTTACTTTCCCAAATAAGTTCATAAACCTCTTGGTATCAGAAATCTGTTTTAAAACTTCTCTGGTAACCCACATAAAGGCTTACCAAAAAATTTTTTAAAAGCGTGTTCCGGGGCATGGTGATTAAGTGTTTGCTGAACAATCATGAAAGCAGAATTTGGATCCTAGAGAAGCTGGGCATCCCACACATACCTGTAACCCCACCTCTGAGCAGAGTGAAGACAAGAGAATCAGTGGAGCTTGCTGAAGTCTAGTCTAGCTGAGAAAAATGTGAGCCCAATGTTCAGAAAGACCCTGCCCCAAAGAACAGATGGAAAATATTAGAGGAAGACACTCAATGTCCTCTTCTAGCCTCTATTCATGTGGGATCCAGGAGTCAGAATTAGGTCATCAGGTTTGGTGCCTTGACCCACGGAGCCATTTCACCTGCTTGAGCTCTCTGACATATATGACATGGGTGGTAAGCGGAGAAATCCAGCAGAATACTAGTCTACTCCAGTCATCTTTTAGGATGAGCACTTCCTGAGCTTTTAGGGGTTATACAACTCATGTACAACCATTATAGATGAGCCAAGTGGTCGTCCTTTCTGGCAATTTTAACTTATAAAATACTTTACTAATATACAATTTCAGATTTAGATACATTCAAGTTTTAAAAATCAATTGGCCACAATTTAAAAATCAAAAGGTCACAACACTTCCATTTCATTTGAATGGTGGATCATGGAGCTCTAGCTATGCTAACACTAATTAACTTAAAGGTTAAAATCATAGACAGAAAAGCAGATTCTGGATAGTAAATTAAGGGATATGATTTACAAGAATATTATCTTGGTCAACATCTCACACTGTATCAAAACTATGGCTTTGGTATACTCTTTGAAGGGGTTACCAGTAGTTTTGGCTTAACCCAGCAAAGATATATGGGACAGAAATATAAATTAGGGATAGTTTTAACAGTTGTCTCTAACTGGAATGTCTATCAATATAAACTACAAAACATTTCTTTTAAATAAAAAACAGACTACGCTAGAACTTAAGTTTTTCAAGTTGCTTAGGAGTCTCAATATTTAAATATATAAACTGAAAAGCAAGGTTTACTGCATTGCATTAGCTTTTCAGTATGCACAGTAAAGAGCAAATGGAACATTAAGAGGAAAGGGTTTTTTTTTTCCCCTTTCCCTTTTCCTGAGGAACTTGGGACAAGGTACTATACCTACTAAGGAAAAGGGACCTGAATGAACTAGAAACTAATTATTTAGAAACAACAGCAACTTTGAAGATAGACCTATTTCTCCTGCACTATATTATACAAAATTACAAAAGTACTGTGCAAAAAAAGTTAAGAGTTACACTGTCAGCTGGGTATGGTGGTGCACATCTTTAACCCTAGCATCAGAAGGCAGAGGCAGAAGGATCTCTTCAAGTTCAAGAGCAGCGTGGTTTATATCATGAGTTTCAGGCCAGTCAAGGCTACATGGTAAAACCCTGTCTCAAAATAACAAAAGTTAGGTCACTCTGGTGAGGTTTTACCTGTTTCCTGCTCCATTGGACCATTGCAGTACATGGCATGTTGTTCAATCTTCGTGGGAGGAAAGTCTTGGTCACACAGTGGACAGGACACCCGGGTACTAGACGAGAATGCAGGAGTGGGAATTGCTTTCTCGCCATTTTCTCTATCACCAACCTAAAGAGCATGGCAAACAGCAACTGTAAGTAACTGTTAGTTTATGTCTATTCTCCCAAAGAACAAGACCCATCTGCATTTCATTTACTTTCAAAGAAAGAATACCCATCAGTTTATACCAGATTCAAAAACCAAGGACTAAAAAGCAAAGACATAAGTATTTAAACGCCTAAAGAAGTTATTAGTTAAGACAATAACTAATTTCTATTAAAGCCTCTTTTAAGTCTTCTCTTGCTCCTATAGTTGCCATTATCTTGCACAGGCAATTTTAAATTTTTGTTTGTGTGTGTGTGTGTGTAGTTTTGGCTGGTTTATCGTGTGTGTACATGTGTATGTATATGCAACATAGTAAGCATGTGGAAGTTTGGGAGTTGGTTCTCTCCTTCCACTTTGTTGAGGTTAGGTCTCTCTTGTCTGCCATACTTCATATTCCAGGCAGGCTGGCTGTCTTAGTTAGGGGTTCTCTGGCTGTGATGAAACACCACGACCAAAAGCAACTTGTAGTGATAAGGAGAGCAGCGGACAGGCCTGCTTTTCATCCCGCCTGGCTCCCGCCCAGCTCCCACACAGCTAGCTTAGCCCCAGAATAATTACATGGAAACTGTATTCATTTAAACACTGTCTGGCCCATTAGTTTCAGCCTCTTATTGGCTAATTCTCACATCTTGCTTAACCCATTTCTAATAATCTGAGTAGCACCACGAGGTGGTGGCTTACTGGGAAAGATTCTAGCCTATGTCCATCTCGGGGAGAATCATGGCGACTGCCTGAGGCGTCTGCCTCATTTCCTTCTTCCCAGCATTCTGTTCTGTCTTCCCCACCTACCTATGTTCTGACCTATCAGGCCAAGCAGTTTTCTTTTTTAATTAACCAATGAAAGCAACAGATAGATAGAAGACACTCCTACATCAGCAACTTGGGAAAGAAAGGGTTTATTGCATATAATCCCACATCACAGTTCTTTATCAAAGACAGGGCAGGAACTTGAAGGCAGGAGCCTGATGCTGAGGCCATGGAGTGGTGCTGCTTACTGGCTCTCAATCATGACTTGCTCAGTCTTCTTTGCTATAGAATCCAGGACCACCAGCCTAGAGCTGAAACCACCCAGAAAGGGTTGGCCCTCCCACATCAATTACTAATTAAGAAAATGCCCTATAGGCTTGCCTACAGGCTGGTCTTCTGGAGACATTTTCTTAATTGAGGTTTGTTCCTCTCAAGTGACACAGCTGTGTCAGTTGAGATAAAAGCTATTTCCCCAATATCACCAAAATGGTCTGTTTAAATATTAACTAGTAGGAAGGAATTACAAGGCAAAAAAAACATGAGTAAAGCAGCTTTTATTAGGACTGTATAGCTCATCAGATTTGGTGTCTACAGAGCTGTTTCTACTGTTTTAAAATACATACAGGCAAGATGGCTTAATGGGTAAAAGGTGTTTGATGCCAACTCTGATGACTTTTTTGAGTTCAACCTCTAAAATCTACATAGATGGAGGGAACTACCTCCAGCAAGTTGTTTTCCTGACCTTCTCACACACTCACACACACACACACACACACACACACACACTGTGTAAAGTAAGTAAAAAATACTACACAATGAGATATCAAAAGTGGTACTCAAGACACAGAATTGTAATCCCTTGTAGGTATGTCCAATCTTTGGCTCTCAGGTATTGGAGAATATTACTTTAACTTGGCAAAGATGTTACATTTGTTTATGTTGTAAATTATTACTTTATGTAAAGTGTGTTACATTAGTTGATGCTGTATTTGTTTAACAATGTAAAGATGTGTTGCTTTGCCTGCCTAAGGCACCTGATTTGTCTAATAAAAAGCTGAATGGCCAATAGTTAGGCAGTAAAGAGATATGTGGGGCTGGCAAGCAGAAAGAATAAGTAGCAGGAGGAATCTAGGCTCAAGAAAGAACAAAGGAGAAAGAGAGAGAGACGTGTGGCCAACCAGTCAGGCAGTCACCAACCAGTCAGATATGGAGTAGGACACACAGAAAGAAAGGTAAAAAAAGTCCAGAGGCAAAATGTAGATGAAGAGAAACAGGTTAATACAAATTTTAAGAGCTAATGGGATAAGCAAAAGATAAAGCTGAGCACTCATAATAATAAGTCTCTATGTCATGAATTGGGAGCTGGGTTGGTGGCCCAAAAGAAAAGTCTGATACAATCAGACCACATCCCAGGAGAGCTTTGAATGCCAACTAACACATTTTATAAATGACAATATCATGTCACTATGTCAAAAAATTGGCAAACTCTTGTAGCCTAAACTTTTTTTTTTTTTTTTTTTTTTTTTTGGTTTTTCAAGACAGGGTTTCTCTGTGGCTTTGGAGCCTGTCCTGAACTAGCTCTGTAGACCAGGCTGGTCTCGAGTGCTGGGATTAAAGGTGTGTGCCACCATCACCCAGCCTAAACTTCTAACCTCAAAAAAAAAAAATGCCACCTCAACAAATAAGCCCAGTGAAAATAAAGACACACCCTATAAATCACCAAGTTCTTCACCCTCCTCTACCTGGCTTATAAGAGCTTAGAAAGTTGTTCATTTTGATCCTTCTTACCAAAAGACTTTTTGTGGGAAGGGGTGTTTTTTTGAAACAGGACATAGCAACTCACTATGTAGACTACTTTGAACTCAGAGATCTGCTGCCTCTTCTTCCCAAATGCTGAGGTTAAAGGTGTGTGCCACCACACTAGGCTCTATACGATTCTATTCAAATAAAAACTTACTAAACTGTTTGGTTTGGAACAACTTCTCTTATCTCACCTGAGAACAGAATATCTATGACAATGCACATCAAGAAAATTCTCAAGTACAATATTGAGAAAACGTTAATCTACCATTTTCAAAGAAAACTGACTACTGTAAGAAATCAAATCAAGAGAGACTGCAGTTATAACAAGGTTGGTATGCATAAGTCAGTACTATCAAGCAGTTACCCCAATTAACAAGCTAATATCACTAAACAGTCACAAAAACTTCAAAGCAGAAAAACTTTTTATATGCATACTTCTACTTGTGTCAGGTCAGCTATATGTTTTATATTCTGTCTAATTTAATATTCTAAGAAACCCATCTTTTAAAAATGATTTTGAGGAGCCAGATGGTGGTGGTGCACGCCTTTAATCCCAGCACTCAGGAGGCAGAGGCGGACGGGATCTTTGAGTTCAAGGCTAGTCTGGTCTACAGAGCAAGTTCCAGTTTAGCTAGGGTTACACAGAGAAACCCTGTCTCAAATAACTAAAAGAATCTCCATTTGATCCTCAGCACCCAGAAGAACATGGTGGCACATGTTTGCAATCTCAGCACTGGGGAGGCAGAGACAGGCAAATATCTAAGGCTCAGTAACCAGCCTATCAGAATTGACAAACTCCAGGCCTATGAAAGAACCTTCTCAAAAAACAAGGTATGGTACATGGCTTTAATAGCAGCACTCAAGAGGCAGAGGCAGATAGATCCCAAGAAACCTCCAAGATTACTTAGAAGCATAAGCAGACATAATCAAATAGCAACAGTAAAAAGCACTCATTTGCTAGGTAGCAGTGCAGAATGCACACTATAATTTCCAAATGGGGCTTATGTTCTTTGGCCCCAAGAACAGTATCCTTTGTAGTCATGGTAAGAAAGCACCTTTGAGGGCTGGAGAGATGGCACAGGGGTTAAGAGCACTGATTGCTCTTCCAGAGGACAGGGATTCAATTCTCAGCACACACATGACAGCTAACAACTGACTGTAACTCCAAGATCTGACAACCTCACACAGACATATATGTAGGCAAAACACCAGTGCAAATAAAATAAATAAATAAATTCTAAAAAAGAAAAAAAAATCCTTGATAACTAAAGGCTTGTAGGTTTCTTCTGCATGTTAGGATAACTATATTGCCAATACTCTGTTCCCTGATTCCCATTTAGAAGGTTCTGTATCTTCCCTGGGAAGAAAAACCCAATGGCCATTTTGATATTATCTAGTAGAATCTAACCTCAGTGCTACAGAGGCTAATTTTTCCTATACCGGCATGAGGAAATCCCAACCTGTCATTTGTGACACACCAGGTTCCAAGAAACCTGTGTATGATTCATGAAAGCAGTTTCTAGCCAATTACCTGCAGTGCAGAAACTAGGAAAAGAACCTAACATCTACTGTGAAAATTGTTTCCAAAAAACCCTTTACAGTTAAAAAGGAATGAGAAAATTAAGTTTCTTTAAAGTGTTCAGGACCATAAACATAAATATGAGCAAAATTTTTATTTCTATAAGAATTTATTCAATCCTCAAACTGCTTTTTACAGCAACAGAATTCCAGGAAATTACTTAGTTAAATGTAAAATGAAAAATACATACAATAAAGGGGCTGGAGAGATGGCTCAGTAGTAAAGTGCTTTTACTCAAGTCTAAAGATCTGAGTTTAGATACTGAACAGTTACAGAACAGCCAGTTGTGCACACCTGTAACTCCTGCACTAGGGAGATGGGAAAGGGAAACAGAGATGCAGGAAGCAGAGATCTGAAGAACCCAGGGGCTTGCTGACCAGCCAGATTAGTCAAAACAGTGCGCTCCAGATTCAGTGAGAGAGACTATCTCAAAAAGGTAAGGTGGAGGTGCTGGAGAGATGGCTCAGCGGTTAAGAGCATTGACTGCTCTTCCAAAGGTCCTGAGTTCAATTCCCAGCATCCACATGGTGGCTCACAACCATCTGTAATGAGGTCTGGTGCCCTCTTCTGGCCTGCAGGCATACACGCAGACAGAATATTGTGTTCATAATAAATAAATATTTAAAAAAAAAAGGTAAGGTGGAGCTTGGCTGAGGAAGGTATCAACCTCTGGTCTCTACATGAGCATACACAAATAAATGCACTCAAAATAAAAAATATACTCTATGATTTTTTTTGAGACACAGTTTCTGTATAGCCCTAGCTGTCCTGAAACTCACTATGTAGATCAGACTGGCCTCAAACTCAAGAGATACACCTATGTTTGCATCTCTAATGCTAGGATTAGAGGGTTGTCCTACCATGCTTAGGTTACTCTAAGAATCTCAACTGTATGGCTATGGTCAAGCATGTGTAGTCAGGGACAGTAAATGATATAAACAGATTCATGTATTTGTCTTCCCTTTGTATTTCTGATAAGATTTATAAAATAAGGTTGAACAATATGTTTATGCTACACAGTGATTACCTGTCCCCACCCCATTTATTTCTTCTACTTATTTGTATATAATAGAAAATGTCTCTATAGATTTAGAGACAAAGCTATGTTCAGGTTCTAGTTCTATAATTAATAGTAACATCAACTAGAGCAAATCATGTAAACATTCTAAATCTTTCTCTAACAGAAACAGTAAAAGAAATGGTTAAGTGGCCGGGTGTGGTAGTGCACAACTTTAACCCCAGCACTCAGGAAGCAGAGGCAAGTGGATGTCTGTGAGTTTGAGGCCAGCCTGGTCTACATAGTGAGTTCTAGGACAGCCAGAGCTATGTAGAGAGACCCTATCTCAAAGATCAAAATAAACAAAAAAGGTGATATTTTTATAAACAGTGCTGAAATGATAATTTCAACTATAAAAATTTCTCTCTAATTGCCCCCTTCCAAAACTAAAACTCTACCACCAAAATCTTTCAGACCGAGGTGAACACTATCACAAAGAAGACCGACAGCATAAAAATTCATGAAGAAAATCATGGAGAAGAGTATTAATTCACCTGCTTATCACTCACTGTCCTTCTTACTTCAATGGGGACCTCGCTGCTACCTGGAGAGTCTTCTCTATTGAGGTCAAGGGGCTCAGGGGAACTTAACTGTGTCTCTGTAATTTAAAAAAAAAAAAAAGTAAATACCATTAATTCTAGTTAGTTTCTTGAAGCTTTACTGTGACATAATTTACACAGAACAGAACTGTGTAAAAGTTAAAAGGATGAATAGGAAAAGCAGAAAGTAAGGCAAAAAAAATCAGAATATGCATTCTATACAAAGATAATCCATTTTTAATATGTTCTTTAAGCAATTATCTATTATTTCAATAAATACTGATGGAATAAAAAGTCCCAGGCATTGTACTACCTACTACTAACACAGAGATATAGTGTAAATCAAGAACAGAAAACTATAGATACCTTCTGGGTCCAATCTGGCCAGCTGCCTCGGTTTGTAAATAAGGCCCGGTGGAATACAGTCATATTCATTCAGCTACATATTATCTATGGCTGCTTTTTCAGTGAAACAGATGAATAGCTTTAACAAAACATCTAACCTAAAGAACCTAAAATATTTACTAGTCTTTTTTTTTAATATTTATTTATTATGTTTACAATATTCTGTCTGTGTGTATGCCTGCAGGCCAGGAGAGGGCGCCAGACCCCATTACAGATGGTTGTGAGCCACCATGTGGTTGCTGGGAATTGAACTCAGGACCTTTGGAAGAGCAGGCAATGCTCTTAACCACTGAGCCATCTCTCCAGCCCCTATTTACTAGTCTTAAAAGAAGTTTGGGGAAAGTTTGGCCAGGGGTTGGGGGTAAATTAATAAAAATGTTTTTTTGAAGTTGGCTAACTAGAAATTCTAGACACCTGTCAATATAACAAAAGAATAACAAATTGTATTTCAAATGACAACAGATCTGGTAAAGAAATGTTGTAAACTCAATGTGTATGTCTCATTCAAACTTCATGATGAAATGGTAATCCTAATGATGATAAGAGGAAATGGGAGGCCTTTGGAAAGTAATTAGGTCATAAGAGTGGAAAAATAAAAAAAGATGGGATTAGTGTCCTTTTATCAGAACCCTACAGAGAGCTGTCATCTCTGTCTCCCATTTAAGAACATAGTAAAAGGATATATCTAGGAACCAGAAAGTGGGTTATCACTAAACACTGACCTTGGACGCTTTGATCTTGGACTCCCCAGTCTCCAGAACTCTGAGAAATAAATGTCTGCTGTTTATAAGCCAAAGTCTATGGTATTTCCTTTTATTTTTTAAATGTTTTAAATTTTATTTCCCTCTTTTATATTTGTCTGTATGTGAACCCGGGTCCTTTAGAAAAGCAGTCAGTGCCATTAACCTCTGAGCCATCTCTCTAGCCCCAATGTTTGCTTATAACAACCATAACTAAATAAAGAAATCTATCTCAGAAGGTAAGCCTTGTTAAGTTTTCGGTTGTTTGACACTATACCTCTGACACTTTCATGCTTCACAATACAATGAATAGTCAACACTGGGCAAATATGTAAATTCTAAACTATCTTCAGAACGATTAAAGAATTAAATACATTTATAGTATTAACTATATTTGAAAATTAGAAACTCTTTATCCAATTTGGTTGTAACAGGCTCACAATTCTTTAACTGCAAAATCTTCTGTGTTAAATTTCCCTGAAAGAGTTTATCACCAAATATACTGTTCAAAGATAAGAATCATTCCCATGGACGGCTGCAGCAATAAAAAGGATGAACAGATGAGTGATCTAACCATGAAAACACTTCAGAGAGCCTTGGTGCCTCAGAAACAAACACTGCTGGTGCCGTCCTGTGACAGTCAGCCTTGACTGCCAACCCGACTGACTGACTTAAGAAAGAAACCTAGAAGGTTAGTAAAGTACAGGTGGGTGTGTCCGTGACAGCAATTCCTGAGACAGATCCCGAGGGCTCTGGCCCAGTGAATGGAGTTATCACTTGGAGATTCACAATGATTGGCTTTTACTGGGAGACGGTAAAAGAGGTGAGGCCTAGCTGAAGAACACCGGCCACTGATAACTACATCCTGAGGGTGTTATCTTGCTCAAGTCTTCCTGTTATTTCTCTTTTTACTGGTTCTTATAGACCATGAGGTAAAGAAGCTTCTCTGCCACATACTCCTACCATGTTTATGCTCTGCTCAAGCACATGGAGATAAGCAACTACTGACTAAACCCCCTGAAACCATGAGTCAAAATTAATCTTGAGATTGGTTAAGAGCACTGGTGCTCTTCTAGAGAACCTGGATTTAACTCCCATGTGGCAGCTCACAACAATCTTTAACAACTGGTCCAGGGAATCCAGTGCCCTCTTCTGGCCTCCATAGAAACTGCATTCACATAAACACAGCTAAAGAGAGAATAAGCCCTTTCTAACTGAAGTTAGGTATAGTAGCTTTTACTATCATGATTTCCGACCATTAGCTTACAGTTAAACCCAACTGTTTGCTGACCTAAACAACTTCCATGTGGGTGCTGGGATTCAAACCAGGCTCTCTGGAAGAGTATGTCTCCAGCCCCTAGGACTTTCCAATTTTTTTTTTTTTTTTTTTTTATTTTTTGTTTTCTGGTTTTTTGAGACAGGATTTCTCTGTAGCTTTAGAGCCTGTCCTCGAACTAGCTCTTGTAGACCGGCAAGCCTCACACAGATCCACCTGCCTCAGCCTCCTGAGTGTCAGGATTAAAGGCCTGCGCCACCACCGCCCAGCTTTATTTTTAATTAGTATACAAAACAAAGGTTTTTATTATCACATCCCATATACCCCTCCTCAACTACTCGTGCCTTCCTTCCCCAGGTAGTCAGTCCTCTTTGCATTTTCATGCCATGTGTATTCTATTACCTTATTTTTCCTTAGGAAATCTTTTGCTTTTCCATGGTCCCCTTTTAAGCTTTTTGATCTATCCCATATCCCCTTACACATGTAAAAATTTAAATCTATTAGCTAAGACTTTGATGATCATTGTATTTGCAGGTTCTTTCTGAAATATGCCACAATGACATTATACGCCATCATCTCAAACAGAGTGACTTCCCAGAAGGATGGCAAAATTCATCAGTTCCACACAGAGAAAAGGATAAAGTTTTATTTTCACAAAGACAGCACCACATTCTTGAGTGCCCTTGCCAAAATCAGAGCACTTTAGTAATTGAGTCTCTTAGTAGTTATCATTAGGCAGTAATTCATATACATTTCAAATTTATTAAGAAACCACTTTCATTAAAAACTAACATTATGGCCAGGCAGTGGTGGCGAACGCCTTTAATCCCAGCACTCGGGAGGCAGAGGCAGGCGAATCCCTGTGAGTTCGAGGCCAGCCTGGTTTACAAGAGCTAGTTCTAGGACAGCTAGGACTGTTACACAGGAAACACTATCTTGAAAACAAACAAAAAAAGCCAACATTACTTACATTCTTAAAATAATAAAAACCTTTTTGACAGGCTTCCAAGTGTTTTAAAGTATTTATAGAATTTTTCCCTAGAGTATATGTTAACTAAGTTTTAGTCTTTGTGGAAAAAATTTGAAAGAAATTAAAATAAGACAACTGGGCTGGAGAGATGGCTCAGCGGTTAAGAGCATTGCCTGCTCTTTCAAAGGTCCTGAGTTCAATTCCCAGCAACCACATGGTGGCTCACAACCATCTGTAATGAGGTCTGATGCCCTCTTCTGGCCTGCAGACATACACACAGACAGTATATAACATAATAAAATAAATAAAGAAATAAAATAAGACAACTATAAATACTGACAGGCTGAATGTGTTCTAAAGGAAACCCAAATATGACTATGACTTTGAATAACATTTGTATACTACTTGCCTTCCGGTGAGTTTAAATATTAGTAGGTAGTTCCTTAACATCACATGAATAAGATTCCTGAGTAATACAATGGGCTCTACTTTTAGCAAAAGGAAGGAAGGGAAGGAGGGAGGAAGAAAAGAAGGAAGGAAGGAAGGAAGGAAGGAAGGAAGGAAGGAAGGAAGGAAGGAAGGAAGGAATGAATGACGGCTGGCTAACACATATTCTCTAGAAAGTAAAAGTGGTTCATTTAGCAAAATAATTATTCATATTATACAACGACTCATTAAAGAATTCTCTTAGACAGTGGCTATCTTAATTCATTTTAAATCATTTTATATATCTAAATCCATTCACATGAAACTCTGAATTAGTATGCCTTATGCCTAAGAAAAATATATAACTCCATCTTTATAAACTAAAGCATTTAACCAGATCTTATCTACGATTAACTGTGCCAGCCACAAAACTGCACAAAAATTCAGTTCCTGAACTCATAAAACCTCAAATAATAGCAATATCAAAACAAACTACTAGAGGGTTTTGCTTAACAATGAAAGTGACCTGAGAACAGTCTAATTTTGAGGATTGTTTAAATTTAAATCCCTTTGGCCCTGAATACACTGTTAAGTAAGGATTATTCTTGATATTTTGTTGCTTCTTCAGATCACATGGTAGGCAAGCAAGTAGACATAAGAGCCAGTTAATTTCAAAACCAAATTACTCCTCAGGCAGAAAATAAAGCTGATAATCAGAACCTGTGTCTACTAGAAAACAAGTATGCGAGCATGTGTGTGTATGTACACTAGCAATAAACACATACACACATAAATCACACATAACCCTCCTGAGAATAGTTTGAACAGTCAAAAAATTGAATAGGAATGAAAAGGCAGATAAGTAATATCAGAAATTCAGTAAAGTCATGGTGTACTTACCAGGACAAACAGTAATTTCTTCTGTAGAACTCTCTGGCATAAGGACTAAGTTTCTCTTATTGGCCAAAGCTGCAATGCTGAAAACAGAATCAAATGATAAGTAAACTCATAAAATAAAGCAGAGCACAGCCTACAAGCAAAGGTGGGCAATTTACAAAGCCACAAGTGAACTGATATATCCTGTACAATGCCACAAGCATTGGAATCTGCAGTGCCAAGTAGGCCAGAAATAGGGAAAATTACAACTTCGGTTCCAATGAAATCACTGAATGAAAAAAAAAAAAAAACTCCCTTTTGTAGTCTCCAAAAAGGAAGGATTAAAGGGTAAGAACTACCAGTGACTATCAGAGAAGACAAAAATTATACTACAGTATAAAAGTATCAAAGGTGTTTTGCAGTCCAGCGACCAGTTATAGCCTTCTGAAGGCAAGAGATATGAACTCAGAAAACATGGAGATTCTCCTGACAGCACAGTAGGTTTTCCTCACCTTACAGTTAAGGTTTCGTCTTTATCTCAAGATAGAGCTTTCTAAGCAACAAAAATAAAATAAAATCCCAAAGTGTCCTACAGCAAAAATCTGTCCACACAAGTTGAATATCTCCTCTGGGAAAAGCTTAATTATGAATGGCTTCCCTTATCCAACCTTCTGGTTTTTCCTGCCTGTTTGTTCATGGAGTATGATCTGTTCCTGATATCAGAACACATGGCTGAGAACTCTTAGCATCTGAAATAGTTCCCTCATGCTTCACAGAATTTTATGATTAGTTTGATCAAGTACGCAAGAAGACACTTGAAAACACAAATCCTCACATCAGCCAAAAGCCACAGAGAAAAGAGAATAGCCACCACTGAGACTCATGATAAATAACTAAATCATGACAGGAAACCACAAGTGATTTCTCTCTCTAAATAAAACATTTCAGAGCATTTGTTATAAAGCCAAGCCAGACACAGTTTACTCTGCATGTAACATTAGGGCTCTATTCAAAAAGTCCATCACAAGACAATTTGCTGACATTTATAAAATGGGCTAATCAATTTGAAGTCAAACCACATTGTATGTGATTTCAACTCTCTCCTGGTGACAAAACATATAATCATTTATTAAAACCTACATCTGCTCTGCATAGGCTCACAATAAAAAAGAGGTCTACAGGGAGCAGAGGACCAACTTCAGTTTAAAACATTTCCAAAAGTATTTTAAAAGCAGAAGAATACAACCACCTCCATATTCTTCAGCTTAGATATAAATACCTAGTACTACTCACCGAATGCTTAACAAAGACCACTACCTAAATTCTAGTAATGACAACTGGCCCTTAAATTCCATATGAGAGACAACAGTCATTCAATACAAGGATCAACTCTTGAGAAACCCCCAAAACTCAACTGTCAGACAAGGGGAAAAAGTGGCTGGAAAACTGACACAGTTAATATCCAGCTAGCCATTATCTATTATTAAAGAAAAAAGACTGGGAAAGTAACCCCGTTACCTAATCATCAAGAATAGGAGAAGTGGGGCTGGAGAGACCGCTCAGTGGTTAAAAGCACTGACTGCTCTTCTGCAGGACTTGGGTTCAACTAACAGCTAACAACTGCCTGTAACTCCAAGATCTGACACCTTGACATAGACAACAGTGCACATAAAAATAAATAAAATTTTTTGAGAATGTTGAAAAGGAAACTGTATGGACCTGAGAATTTGTAGCCAGCAAATTGACCATTTGCATGAAGCCACAGTGTAAGATTATTTCATAAAATAAAAAATAATAAACTAATGGGTGGGGGAGAGGCACAGCTGGGGCCTGGAGAGAAACCTGACTGATTTGAACAGGGGGTTTTTGTTTCTCCTCATGCTCTCAGGGACTTTTGGGAAAATGCAGACACGGTTTTAGGGAGAATCTCTAGAATCTTCTTTTTAGGGTTCAATTTAACTTCAGCATGTTTTGATTTAGTAAAGCAGAATGTTTCCTCCAGGGTCAACTTTTCCTTGTTAAAAAACATGGCAAGACATTCTGGTTGTAAATCATCAGAGTCAAATAATCAAGGCAGAATTTGTCTTGACATGATCTCTGTTTGGAATTCTTCATGACTTTGAGGACCAGCACTGGTTCACAAACATTGAAAGTAGCCTTCGTTCTGCATGTAGTTTGGGTATTTCTGAGGAAATGGAAGGATATCATAAAAGGAATTTTCCAAATCTAGTCCTATCCATCTCTGGGGAAGCTGTAATTTGAATTCTTACTGCAAGCCTTGACCATGCCCCCTCCAGAATTCAGCAGAGTCCACAGAGCCTCTCTTCTTCTCAGTTGACTGTTTCACATTGACTTCCTAGTCTTCTCTCCCAGAGTGATTTCTCCTACAGATGGAACCAGCTTTGCTTAGCCCTTCTCCTGGTCAACATTGATGCTCATTTTCCAAGTACTTGCTCTGTTTCCCAGATGAAATCTTTCCTTAGGCTGGCAGTCTCGGAGCCCCTGCACCAAGGCGTGCTGGGTGGGAAGTGACTGGAGTTTTTTGTTGTTGTTGTTGTTGTTGTTTGTTTGTTTTTTTAATGCATCAGGAAGTTTGGTCTGTGGTTTGCAGAGTTGGTGGTTGGCAGCTGCAGGATCTGAGTCTGGTTGTCCTTCCTGGGTTCTCTTGATTCTATAGTTTTGTTGGTATGACAGGGTTTTTGTTTATTTGTTGTTGTTGTGTGTGTGTGCTTTTCTATATTTATCAGTTTTTCTATAGAATACTCAAAACATGTATATACATGTAATTTTTATAAAAATAACCATTTAAAATCTTTTTTTGAAGATACAAGAAATGCATTTCTTATATTTTGTTGGCTTCAATTTTATAATGGGCATTACTGAACATTGTATGCAATAATTATGTAGTTAATTGTATTCTTATGTGTTAGAAACTCAACTTGGTTTTTCCATTTAGTGGTATGATGACTTCTCATGAATGCAAAGGATGCTATGGAGACAGTTTGTGTTCTCAGTGATCTCTATTGAATGTATTTTGTACTTGTTTATGTGTTTGTATTCTTGGTCAATACCAAACCCGTTATTGAAGGATTACTAGTAAATATCCAAGAATCCATATCAATTTATGAGTTTTATTTATGCCCAAAACACTGTAAGTTCTGTTAAACATTGTTCAGGTCCCTGGGTCTTTTTCTTATTAGCACATTTGAAAAAATTCTTTTATGTTTTAAATGTATTAAGGGCAATAGCCAATAAACATTTTTAATTAAAAACCAACAAAAAAAATAAACTAATTTCATTTTGTGCTAACGGAAACTCTGATATTTGTGCATATGTGTTTGTCACTTCATGAGTTTTTTAAAATAGCCATCAGTTTTAAAGAGTTTTAGTTTATGGCTGGTAGTGTTTTAATAAAGTTCCTTGATAGGAAAGTATTGTTACTGATTCAAAAATCATGTCTCTAACCAGCTTGAATTTACTGTGCTCTCAGAGCATGAGCTGGTCAAGCCCTTTTGAGTAAGCATGTATATATGTGTATTGTATGCGTGTGTTAGTGTCAGGAAGTAGGATCAATTAAAAACTGGGACATACACATGTTATCATACAGTTATAAAGACGAGTATGCTTGGGCCAAGAATCCCTTAATATTTGTTCTTGGGGAAGTAATTATACCACCAACTCCTTGGGGCAGTTTAAAGTCACTGCTTATATAGAAACAAAGAGTAATTAAAACTAACTCTAAAACTGTTAGAACAAACAAATAAATAAAAAATAAATAAATAAAATGTTTAAAAATGGAAGAAGTAATACAAATATATAGCTATAGTATCAGATAGATGAGAAACTAACCAGACACAATGGCAGAGATAGAGTGAGGGTGGTACAGAATCTGTGTGGCCTGAATAATACATAAGTTTAAGAAGTAAGATTTGGAAATGCATATAAGTATAAGCAAACCAAAAAGATGTCTCTGTGGAAGTCAGAATAAGAAAAAAAAACAGACTACGCCAAAGAGATAGAAGGGAAAGATTTGGAAATGTACAAAATAAGTAAAATAAAAAGTATTTATTACTTTGCAAGCAAGAACAAAGGCATACCAAGTCTACAGCAAGCTGAGTACAGCAGTTATAAAGTTCCTTGGCCCAGAAAAAAATTCAGAAGCCATTTCAAAAAGCAAAGCCAGAGGAAAGCAAGGTAGTTCTACTCCTAGGAAAAGCCCCAGTTCTTAGATTTCAAATCCAGTTTCAGATTTCAGTGAGACAGTGATTACTCCAGTAGACAGATCTATAGTAGAGACAAACCCCATTTTTGTTATACCATATGACTTGGAAGGCAGTGGCCAGGAACCATTTTGGGGAGGGGGATCTATTAAAAACTAAACTGAGGCTGAAGAGATGACTCAGTGGTTAAAAGCACTGGCTGTTCCTAAGGACCTGAGGTTTAATTCCTAACACTCACACAGCAGCTCACAATTGTCTATAACTCTAGTCTTGGGAATCTGATGTGTTCTTCTGGCATCTAAGGGTACCAGACACAAATATACATGCAGTTAAAACCCCCACATATACATATAAATAAAAACTTTAAAAAAAAGCAAAAACTGAACTACCCTGGGGGCCTGAGATCAAGGAACATCAACAGGATAAGGAACCTTAATTTGTCCTGCTATAAACCTTTAGTCAGAGAAGCCTCTAAAAGGCAGTTGAGGATAGCAGCAGGGCTAGACTCTGGCCAAAGGGAACAGGCAAGAGTCTGGTTTAGATTAGTTCATGTATAAGGAGTAACAACCCTATGCTCAGTACCCAGGAACAGATCTCATCAACAAGAACTATGATGGAGTTTAATAGCTCTGAGCTTTAGGTCAGTGAGCAGATCAAATTTTACAACTACCTACCTACATTCATTACTTTTAAGCCCAAGAATTCTGAAGTTCCTGGAGTGTGATACCCAAAAAGGCATCTCTCCAGCAGAATTATTACTACATAGGAGACCTTGAAAATATGAAGGCATGTCTTTCTGCCTGTACCAATCTCAGTGCTGTAGTATGATTTCCACACTCCCAATCTACTTGGGAGACATTCCTTAGATAAACAGCCATAAG